TACTGCATGGAGAAAAGAATTCCAAAAAGAATGGAATTTATTGGCATCACGGTCATGTAACTCTGACCAATATCTAACGAATCATGAACTCTAGGTTTGTTCATGTCCTTATTTTGCAACAAACTGATTTTTCTTATGTAAACATTTGGTGATTCCAATTGGTCAACAACCACATTCATTTTTTTTTAAAGTATATATAAATTTACTATATTTATGTACATTATAACAAAAATTAATCTATGAAATTATATATTTAGATCCATCGCAATTCTCGATATCCTTTAATTTTGATATCATCAGATGATAACCCTTGGCAAGAAATAAAAGCAGTTTGCAATCTTGATGACAATAACAACAAATATCCGATTAATAGCCAAATCAATTGTACTAATGAAATGGTTCTAGTAAATGATAATTCTGAAGATATAATTGAACAAAATTCTGAAGACATAGCTGAACAACAACATACACGATTATATCAAGTTTTAAATGAAGTAATTTTTTTTCTTTTATAAAAAAAACATATATTTATTAAGGTTTTTAATTCTATATAATTATATTAGGCACAATGCATACTCAATGAATCGAAGGCTTTTCACAATCGTCAAAAGTTTCTTGGAAGAAAAGTTGATTCCGCTAGAAAAACTAGTTGCAGACATATTAAAGCATGAAAGAAGGCAAACGTTGCCACGTACATGGAGAGATAGTAATAAAAATACACAATATTATGGTTAAGGCTTAATATAAGCTATCTTGATATTCGTTCAGTATTTTTCAATAAATATCAACCTTGTTTTTAAAGCAGTTTAATTTATTATGCATTGCAGCAGTTATAAATATTAAATGCGATTAATATTTTTTAAATAATTAAATTTGTGCACTTTTTGTAAAAACTCGATTTTTGTAAAATTTTTTTTTTGACGTTAATATTTTGTTGGCCGGAAGGTCCGGAAGGTCCGGAAGGTCATGTGACTGCACCGTCGATTATTGGTAACGCTAGGGCTTTTAACCTCATGGCCGTCAAATCATGGGACTTTTCTCGGCACCGATCCATGCTGAAATAAATCGGGTACATACATTTGTTCCAGAAAAAATAAAGTATTATCGCATGACTTAACGGCCCCACGGGTCCGTGTACATGTTTTTCGGGTTACGATAATAAATTATTTTTTATTACTATTATCAGTATGTCTCAACAGCACTTCGACAGCAC